AACTTTCAATAGCTTTACTTTTTCTATTTTTTTCCTGAGCGCAACCTCAGTGAAGGATGACATTGTCCAGAGAAGATAATGTCATCCTACATTAACGATGTTCAATATAATTCACAAGAGGGTTTAATAAAAGATGAGACTGAGTGCAGCAGCGTCTGAGCACCCAGTAGCATGAGATCAAAGAGAGCCTGAACCAGGAAGTGTCCTACTGAGAAATTTCATTTACTGGTGGCTTTACAAATTACTCTTTGAAAACTGTTTCAACTTGTGCCACTTTTAGTGAACACTTATCAGAATCTTATTTGGTCCTCACTGACAAAAGATGTTCCAGTCCTTTCGATCCAATAAGAAAAGATCCAAGCTCCATTTAGATCCAGCTGATCAGGATCACACGGGGTTTAAACCAAGGCTTTTCCTGAGACATACCGACCTCATTAAGCAGGCAATTATGCCCAAATGCCCATTTTGATGCTGTTGGCTAAGTTACAGCCTATCCACAAACACTAGCATCTGGTGAGACATGGGATGTTGGGACCACTGTGTTTACTTATGGTCTGCTGTGGCAGGCTTATTTTCTTGAAAGTGTTCATTGGTTTTTGTTTGGTCTGTTCTGCCTGCTTGCCCCCTCGCCTTTTCAACTCATTGCCTGCCGGCCCATAATGTGTGGCTGCAGAGTCCATTAGATTGTGGGTCTGAAGCAGGTTAAGGGTGATGAGTCATTAGAGCTGGCTGTATTGCACAGCTTACTAGTTCTCACACTGCCCACCTTATGTGTTGTTTGGTTTAACCAAAACAAAGTTAACCTTTTTTTCTGAACTAATCAAGGAATGACAGCTTATTTTGTCGGTTACACATTTAAAATGAGCAACTCCACCACCAGATTAGGTTGTAACTGAGGAATAAACATTGGTGCAAGAGTCATAATGACATTTATGTGTGTTATACGTAAACAAATTCAGTCCAAAAGTGCTAATAAATCATTTTCAATTGTGTGCTGACAAAAGTTAGTTTTAAAATAAGACCTTTATTTAAGAGAATGGTCATAATCACCCAATTATTCTCACCATGAGGAAGAAGGCACCATGAACATATAGAAGCACAAAAAATTTCTTTTTTTAAATCATATTCTAATCATGACAATTTTAGCTGTTCTCCAAATTTTGGGGAAATGTTTGTTGATGCAATTTTGAAATATCTAATTGACAAAGAGCAGTGAACAATGTGAACAGTGCATCCAGCCTTAGTTTGTTTCTCCTCACAGAATCATTTTTTGAAAGATGATTGTCTGTAGTTTGGACTTTATCAAATTACTAAAATTGAATTTTCATTAAAAATATGGAACACTCATTTAATCAACAAATTTTCTGTGGTCTCTTGTAGGAATGAATGCCTTGTAGGCCGTACTCTGGAGAAAAAAACAGTGGTGTGCCTGTTTCGTTTCAGGAAGTAGAAAATTGCAACATTCAAGAAGAACTTTAGACGACAGGATTTTGATTCTACTTCCTGATATTTGCACATTTTGCCTCTGATTGGCTAACAGACATGAAACTCTACCACTGACCCTGATTGCTTTGCAACATTGATGTTTTATCTCCACAAACACAAGCCTGGAGGAGTTCTGCTGTGTGATGGAGTTGCAAACTGTTAGCTTCTACTAGTCGAGATGTTCTCTGCTGTTTCCTGAACGCTAAACCAACAACAACCTTCTCTGTTGTCAAGTGTCACAACCTGTCCTGTCTCCCCACTCTGTTCAGTCCTGTCTCTCCTGATTGCTCCCACCTGCCTTTCGTCCCCCAATCACTGTAGATCCCAGCTCCTCGTGTATTTGAACCCTCCCAGTTCTGTGCCCCTTGTCTGTCCATTGTTTGCATGTCCCATGTGTCTGTGATTAAAATCCCTCTAAAAGGTTTCTGTCTGCCTGCCTTCTTCCCCGCATTTGGATCCTCACCTCCGCTTCACTCACCTGCGCACCCATGACATCAAGATGAGTGAGTCACTGTCTATCAGAAGCTAATGCAGGAGATAGGTGTATGAAACTGTTTTCATGTTTAGCCTGCATGAAAAACACGAGTGATCAGAAATAAAACAAAAAAAAGAAAAGAAAAGACAAGAAAAGAAAAGAAAGAAAAGTTAAGAATGGGTTTTTCAGCAAATTACACCTTAAAAAGAGATGCTAATACACGTTCCAGCTCAGATGCAAACTGTGTGCATCACAGCATAAACTGAACCAATATATATTGAACGTATAATTCACATGGACACCATAGTGAAAAAGCTGATATTGACATTTCCCTAAAAGGTATTTAGATCTAAACTTCTTCATGCTTGTCTCTGTTTCAAAGTGCAGGATATTTTAAGAGACCTAGATTTTATGTTGTCTGCTTTCTTCCTGCCTTACATCAGTCTCTATCTTACTGATGTGAAACTGAAGGGCATTGTCATCCCCAGTGGTAACCCTGCAGAAATGTGAGGGAAATTGATCCGAGCTCCAGCAGACTTTTTTAATATGCAAAGCCTAAAACTGGCCATTTGGCTTGTGCTGCTTGCTCTGTCAACAGATCAGTAGGCTTATATGAAGGCATGCTGAGGGTCACTCAGACAGCTTGGTATGTGGTTGGTATTACACAGCTGTACGTTCTCTTAAACACTGTTACACACCAGTAGAAACCAAGTGCCAGGATGACTAGGTCCAAATGAGGAACAGTTCCATCGGCACGATAACAGTGACTCAGAAACACCATTTTTAAAAAAGACTTATCCATAGTAAACAAGAAGGATGCTGAAAAATTAGGCAACTTGAACAAAACCTATGTTTAGAGGCTAATGTTGAATGATTATAGAGACATTAGTGTAAAAAAATAGGGCAGCTAATGGTTTTCCGCATTTCATATAAAAAGTGTTCCCAGTGATATCTTTTTTATAGTCACCTTAATATTGTTATTGTGAATGTGTGACACTTTATTTATTGATCACCAGGGGTTATTTGTATCCACCGTGTGCAAATGTATAAACTAAATATAGTGATGTGATTTGCTAATACTCCTCTTAAAAAGCCCATCAATCAATCTCAACCACTTTAGTTTGAATGAAAAATTTCTATGTAGAGTTTTCTGTTTATCTAAACCTGATCAAAGTGTGATTTGGACAAAGCGACTAATAAATGAAACTAATTGACTTTTTGTTGCAGTATACAGACATATTGCTGTCCTTATATGAGTATTCATAGAACCTGAAAGCACACACAGTGTGTCAGCGATGGATATTCGGATTATTTTTTGAACACAGCAAATTTCCTGATGCAGCTCATGTAAAAACATATTTATACAGCCACAGTGAACTTGAAATATTGCTGATGTGTTTGCTGTTGATTTTTAGTTTTTCATTTAGAAATGGTGTTTGAGTGTATACTTGTCTAAATAAGATATGGATGTGCATGATTAAGACTCATTAAAATGAATTAAAAAATAACCATTGCTGTTCATGCAGCTTTTCAGTTAGTTGCAGGAGAGTTTAGCGTTGCAGGACAGAAGTGGGTCAGTTTAACCACATTTGTGTTCTACCTGTTCAATGTTCCATACTGCAGCTAATGTTCACCAAATGTGATCAAAATCTCACAGGAAGTCATCACGATGTCGGAAAAACTATGCACAATACCTGCAAAGTTTTTTTTCTTCTCTGCACTCGAGGAGTACAGACGCTTCTCTTTTCGCTCCCTTATCTTTTTTTCCCAAGGCTCTTTGTCCAGTCTGCCCACAGAGCGCTTCTCTGCATTTCTTCTGAAAAACTCTATTTTTACCAACCATGGATTTGATAAACTGGTCATTCAGTGTGATCGACAAGATTTTTTCAACAATGAGAATGGAGCAGGGGGCTCCCACATGTCCACAGGGGACGCACCCGGTTGGATATATGTTGGATTCTTGGAAGGAGTGGAAGATCATATGCCTCTCCCAGCTGTCCATGGAGGATATCGAAGACGTGTGGATATTCGGCCTGATAATCACTGGATTTCGCCTGATTGGAGATATCTGGTTTTCTGGAAATGTGGGAAGACTGGAGCGATTGGAGGGCGGCCCGCAACCACGGAAAGCACCGTCCGTGTGGAGACTTCTCAGACTGGGACGTTACTCAAGGTGAATCGCAAGCTGGACAATGTTCTAGCTGCGATACCGGTATTAGTGCGCAAAATGGATGTCATCTCGGAGAGAGTCACCGGACGGTATGGACAAGTTTAAAAACCCAAAATTGGCTTCACTGAAGGACTGGAATGATCAGTTTAAAGACTGAAGGCAGAGAGGAAAATTATCTCAGCCTGAGCCAAACAAATTCTTGTTATCTGAATCTGACGCCCTGGTAGCCTTGAGTGGCGAGCAAATAAAACCGTCACGAAGGAATGCAGACAGATGCTGTGAAAACCTGACCTGACCTGACCCCCCCCCCCCCCCCCCCCCCCCCCCGGATTGGGGGACTTCAGCTTGGCGAGGTCATCAGCTGTAGGAGTCAATGTACTCTTTGCTTCTCCCTCCCACCTGTGACTGTACAATAGATGAGCCCCTCAGATGCCCCCCCCCCCCCCCCCCGCCTTCCTATTGGAGTCTCATGTTGTGAACTGTTGATGTCCGTGCTTATATGTTTGAGGTGTTTTTTTTTTTTTGCATAGTAAAGCTACGCCCTTTCGGGAGTAACTCTGGAATGCCTTTTTTTCCCTCCCCTAATTTATCCTCATGTAATACCCTTTTCATCTAAATGAAATGAGCGCCGTTATGGCTGCTCTCGTAGGCTACCTGTATCTGCATTGTCTACATGTGTGTGTGTAACCTTGGTCAGGCTGTGCTGCGGAGTCAAATTCCTATGCTTCGGGACGCTGGAGCTCTGGCAATAAAGCTTTTCTGATTCTGATTCTGGTTCTGAACCCTGCTCTGAATGAAAATTGGAGCCGTTCATAAAAACAAGAAGGGTAATCAAAAAATCATTTTGTTTTCTCTATTTTTACTTTTCAGTATTGTGGGTCACACAGAGCCATACACAAAACTGTGCTGTAAAGGCTTCTGCATTGACATCCTGAAGAAACTGTCCCGCACCATAAAGTTCTCCTACGACTTATACCTGGTCACAAACGGCAAGCATGGCAAGCTGGTCCGAGGAATATGGAACGGGATGATTGGAGAGGTGAGAGCATCCATTAGTTTATTGCAGCAGCAGCCTTGAGTCAGATCACAAACACATGAAATTTTAAACGTGTTGTGTTTAGGGATGTTCCGATCAAAATTTTACATTTAATTATAAGTACCTGCCAATACTGAGTCCCGATCTGATATTTCAGCAATGCAGTAAAATACAGTGGGCATAAAAAAGATTCACCCCCTTTGAAATACTGGTTTTATGAAAACAGATTGAGCCATTTTTACCCAATCTTCTTTGAACAGTTTAAGCTGGGTCAAATAGGATGGTAGGCATTGGTGGACTGTCTGCTCTGGAGAGCAGCTTCAGTGACAGACTGATCCATCCTCGCTGTGTGAAGAAAATATACCGCAGGTCTTTCCTTCCTGCTGCTGTTAGACTCTACAATGGACACTGCTAATATGAAACCCATACATCTACAAATGTCATCAGCTTTCAAGATGCAATATTTACTTCTACTATCATTATGTGCAATAATTATCCCAACTTACAATTCTACTCTTGTGTGACATCGTTTGTGTGCTACTGCAGCTATTCTACTGTACTTGAGCTGTTGCAATAATGCAATTTTCCCATTAGGAAACAAATGAATGTATCCTTATCTTATCTGAGACCTTTATATTAAACATCTAGTTAAATTGCTCAGTTAGACAATAAGTGTATAGTATAAATTAGGGCTGGGACTTGATTAAAAAATTTTAATCTAATTAATTAGAGGCTTTGTAATTAATTAATCCCAATTAATCACATTTTAATCGTTCAGGAAAATGTGCTCTCAAAGTAAAACTTTTAATTAAAATTATGAGACAGAGAATCAAACATTAGACATGGTTATTACTGTAAACTAAAGCTTTTAATAAAAAAATGCATTTTAATTATTCAAATGTCACTGTGTGATATGAAACAAAACCCAAATCAACTAAAATTTATAATTACAAATAGAAAACACCTGCAAAGGGTTCCTGAGCCTTTAAATAGTCTCTCTGTCTAGTTGAATGACTGAAATAAATTTGACTTTGCACCAGATTCGAATTTTTCCAGTTTCACTTGTTTGTATAATTGGGAGTTTTTATTAGCATTTCTACTCATAATGTAGTAAAAACACATAAATAATAATCCTTCAAAATGACAGTAGAACTGGCACAAATATGATCTAGGACTTAAATGTACTAACTTTTAACACCAGAGCAGGCGTGACATATTCTGAGAATGAACAGGAACACTAACTGGTTCCAGTTGGATGACTGGAGGTTGATGGGATGATGATAAAAGATCATGGCGAGGAAATAATGATCTGACGAACAGGTGAGCGGACCTTCCTTACATGGGAAGTCCTGCTGTCACGTTAATACGGGGATGCTGCAGACCCGCAGATTCACACCTGCAGCAGCGAATCTGGTGTGATCTCCAGCCTGATCACAACGTTCTCGTTCCTCGCTGCCCCTGATACACTTAAGCATCCGCCCCTTAGCTGATGACAGCTTCAACACACCTCGCTGCTTAATGATAGTAATACATGTGATGTTAGACAGAGACTCGTCTCAGAAACATATAATTCCCCGACAGAATTGTTTAGAAAATCATCAGAAAAGTTTCAGAGTGTTTCTGTTTTAACTTAAACTTCTGTTTTCAACTTTAAGACACGCCTCTCGTTTGTCTGACTACTTTCATAAACTACTGTTAGGGCAAAGAATTATTCTGTCTGGTACTTTCAGCGCTGCACAGATGTTACGTAAATGTTAAAAATATAGCTTACTGCAACTTTTGTAAAGTTCCCGTTGCCACCGGGCAGCCGCAGCAGAGACGATCTCTGAAAAATGTCCGCGACACGGACTCCGTTGTTGTGTGGAAGGTTTTTTTTTTCAAGTTAAGAAAAGAGGCGGACGTGTTTCCTAAATCTTGCATCAGTCCAAGCAAGGCAACTTCTTTCTGTTTTTATTCCGCTTTAGTAGCCATTAGCACTGTGCATTGTTGTGTGTATCAGTGATATTCAGTCTACGAGGAAATCGTGCAATGGCAAAGGTTCCGCCGTGCTTGAAATGCAAGCTGCGATTAAATGCGTTACATTTTTTAACGCGTTATTTTTTCTAATTAATTAATCGTAATTAACGTGTTAAAGTCCCGGCCCTAGTATAAATATTAAAGTCTACACCTCTTTTAAAGGATTCCATTAGCCCGAGAATCCCGAGGAATGAGTAAACTGGTACCAAGGTGACTGTGTTTGTTGCAGGAGGACATAATGTACAGGGAGGAGGACCACATGTCACTGTGAATAATTTACAGATTCCACTAGCTGGCTGTCCTTCTGCAGAGTTGGGAACAAATGACAGTTGTTTCATCAGCCCTGCTCCAAAGAAAGGAAAAACAAAGGATAAAACTAAACAGGGAGGCCATTGTGCTCAATGAGGCATCCCCCCACCATAGGAGAGTGAATGAATGACTTACATGAGGTGAGGTGTCTGGACCGCAGGCTCTCCATCAGCATAATGAAGGGAAGTGTGTCACCACACAAAAGATTCAAAAACAGGTAGAAAACACTCGACAGAACTGGACTCACAGCACACCCATGACTGTTGCTGTACTACATTTGGTTTTCAGAGAAATTGCACAATGACTAATATTTCAAATACATTCTTTTAAGCAGAAATAACCTTGCATCAAAAAGGTAAAGCTACAATTCACCAGCCTGGCAAGTGAATATAATGTTAAACATTATCAGCCTTTTCTAACCAACATTTTGCTTCTCTGTTTATGAGATGCAAATCAATTAGCAACTAATGTATGTTTATGTTCATGTTTATGTATTTAGCAGACCTTTTTGTCCAAAGCGACTTACATGGTAAATGGTAAATGGCCTGTATTTGATATAGCGCCTTCTAGAGTCCTGGAACCCCTCAAGGTGCTTTACAACACAACCAGTCATTCACCCATTCACACACACATTCACACGCTGATGGTGATGAGCTACAATGTAGCCACAGCTGCCCTGGGGCGCACTGACAGAGGCGAGGCTGCCGAGCACAGGCGCCACCGGTCCCTCCGACCACCACCAGCAGGCAACGTGGGTTAAGTGTCTTGCCCAAGGACACAACGACAGCGACAGACTGAGCGGGGCTCGAACCTGTAACCTTCTGATTACGGGGCGAGCACTTAACTCCTGTGCCACTGTCGCCCACAAGTTACAAGTTATAATCGGCATGTTGCCCTTGAGGCTAACAACAATAACAACAACAAACAATTTCCAGTCAGTCGTAGGTGGCAGTGAGGCAGCATGATGAATCAAGGAGAGGAGGGAACAAGAAGTGGACAGTAGAGAGGGGGGACGGGTGCAGGGAGGGTGCTAGTTAAGAAGATGCTCTCTGAAGAGCAGGGTCTTCAGGAGTTTCTTGAAAATTGAAAAGGAAGCCGCTGTTCTGGTAGTGCTTGGTAGGTCATTCCACATTTGTGGAACGATGCATGAGAAGAGTCTGGATTGTCCTGAGCGTGGTGTAGGCACTGCTAGCGGACGATCCTGTGATGACCGGAGCGGCCGGGCCGAGACGTAAGCCTTTGCAAGAGGATTCAGGTAGATGGTAAAGTAGGTAAAGTACAGATCATTAACACATTGCCTGGTGAGGTTTTCTTGACAGATTCTCTTAGTTAGCTAGCCTGACAAGCTATCCTATATATGTGAACATGGAGGGATTTTCATTAGCTGTCAGTTATAATCATCTAAATTAACAAAACAAACATTTGAAATGCGTCAGTCTGTGTGTTATGAATGACTCTAAATATACAAGTAGGGCTGCAACAACGAACTGATAAAATTGATAAAGATCGATGACTAAATGTGTTGGCAGCACTTTTTTTTTCGTGCAACCTTTATTTATTAGTCAACAGCTCAAGTGTAGGAGACAACAGAGCAGACCGAGGCCGATCAGAATGAGAGAAAACCGGCGTTTTGATGAGGAATGACACACTTAGAAAAGTAAGTTGCTTATATACGCACCATGTGCTAATGTAAGGGCAGTGGAGGACAACAGAGAAACCAGCAAAGACACAAAGGCTGAAACGGTTTGGGATCTAAAGCGCAACTACAGGTAGATTAGCTAATGCTAGCTGGTAGCATGCTCATGATCAAGTGGGGTTCAGAAAAAAACACAATGGTTGTGAAACTAGAAACACCTAAAATCTACAAGCAGAAGAAAAGACCTGACCATGCTGTTTATTCTTAGCTGACTGCAACGCTATAAAGCAGAACCACTGCAGTCAGGTTCACGTCTGCTCTGCTAAACACTGCAGCAGGTGTATGGCAAGCCAGCGTAGCATGTAATTCACAAACGCATCTATCTGTGAACATAATTTAAACTGGATTATTGCCAAACCACACATAATAAATATGTCACCATTACATTTTTAGCAGTAATTAAATGTTCTTAGCATTTCCATAAAATTTTACTGATCATAGTTTAATTAGGGATATATTTAGGTGATAGCATGTTGTTTCGCACACTATTGAACTGTTATCTAATTATGCTCTGTTGTTACATAAAATAAAGGAAGGAGAGAAAAATGTTTCCCCAGCGGTGTTTAATTAAATAATTTAGTTAATGACATTTGTGGGATATGTGGGGTCATTTTAATCTGTAAAGCACTTTAAGTTACATTTATTTTGTATGAAAAGCGCTTTATAAATAAAGTTTGATTTGATATCATTTAAATGTTCCTGTTTCATCCGATTAATTGAGTTGAGACCCCCTCCGATTCATTGATGATTCAAATAATCGTTTGTTGCAGCCCTATATACAAGTTTCACTTTCTGAATGGAATTACGGAAATCTAGTGGTGACGCTGGCAGAGGAGTTAAGTGCTCGTCCTGTAATTTGAAGGTTGCAGGTTCAAGCCCCACTCAGTTTGTCGCTGTCGTTGTGTCCTTGGGCAAGACACTTAACCCCCCTTGCCCACTGGTGGTGGTCGGAGGGACCGGTGGCACCAATGCTTGGCAGCCTCGCCTCTGTCAGTGCGCCCCAGGGCAGCTGTAGCTACATCGTAGTTCATCACCACCAGCGTGTGAATGTGTGTGTGAATGGGTGAATGACTTGTTGTGTTGTAAAATACCTTGGGGGAATCCAGGACTCTAGAAGGTGTTATATCAAATACAGGCCATACTATGGCAAGAACAAAAATTAAGTTACTCCTTTTTTCCACTGGACATGAAAGCAGAGCGTGACGTCATAGCGGTGGCTTACCCACAAGCTCATTCCCAACCAGGAGCGATTCTGATGCGAATCGGAGCAAGAGCGTTTCACACAGCTGATTCTGTGATGTCACAAAATCAAGAAATAATTTTCAGTATTACTGCCTGGATGCTAAAGGAACCACAGTAAATCTACCATCAGTGAAAGAAGTGGGGTGTCTTCATCTAATAAATAGCATTTATCTCAAAGAGCAGCGAGTACCACATCCTCTGTTTCCACTTACTGTATGTTCCACAAGCCCTCAGATAAACATGTATTTACTGACTTTCCGTACATTACAGGTGTTTTACAAACGGGCAGACATGGCCATCGGCTCGCTGACCATAAATGAAGAGCGTTCAGAGATTATTGACTTCTCAGTGCCATTTGTGGAGACGGGAATCAGTGTGATGGTGGCTAGAAGTAACGGAACTGTCTCTCCATCTGCGTTTTTGGGTAAGACATTCCTTCCAAGAGAACGATGTTTTTGCTTTGAACTGTCATCAGCTTAGAACCAAGCCTTCTGAGACTAGATTAGCAGTGGATCATTTTGGCTGATGTCAGTCTTCTTGTCTTCTCTTTCAGAATAAAGGCTAATGCATGTATTTTCTTTGCCCAACTGTGCTCTTTGTTTCTGCAGAACCATACAGTCCAGCCGTTTGGGTGATGATGTTTGTCATGTGTCTGACAGTTGTGGCCATCACAGTCTTTGTCTTTGAATACTGCAGTCCAGTTGGGTATAATCGCAGCCTGGTCAGTGCCAAAGGTAAGTCTCATAAACCTCTTTAGTCCATCTCTGCTTAATAGCTGTCCCCAGAGGAGAACAAAAACAGGAAAAGTGAGCTGAATTTAATCACACTGCCAATAAAATGCCCAATAATGAATGAATGAATGTGCAGAGGTTAGAAGTTGGCAAAACTGAATTGTGACTACCGTAAATCCTCTAATATTGGCCTGTATTCACTTAAAGGCCGGGTATCACATTTTGGCTGGTGTCAGAGTCGGCGGAGGTGAATAATGGCCGTTTATTTTTTATTGTGGCCGGGTGGAATGTGGTAACAGGCAAGTATCACAGGGGGGCGGTTGTGTCACCCGTCTCACTTTTGATTTGCCAGTGATAGACCGCGAGGGTAACTTTAACCATGGCAGGTGCGGAGCCGAAGAGGAGGCGAAAATTTGATATGAAGTTCAAAGAGAACGTGCTGATTATGCTGCAGAACACTCTGGGGGGCAAGCTGCTAAACGTTTTAACATCGATCCATCAAACTGGATGAGGATTAAACTGAATTGGATTACCGGTATTTTATTTTTTACTTTAAACTGAACAAATATTGAATTGAATTTGAGTTTTTTTTTTACTACAACCCAAATGAGACAAAACGATTCAACTTTGAAGCGGAAAGGTGGCTGTTGCCTTTTCTAATACCGGTATTTAATAACGTTTAAAGTGCAGTACAGGTATGTTTGCTATTGTTTTGTAACAATACAGTATTTCCCTACTGTAATTTAGCCTTGTTGTTAATGTTTTATATGCAAACCGTACCACGTTATGGTAACTGTACATTTTCAGTAAATGAACCTAGTATTTTATAGGTTCAAAAAGACACACCCCGTTTTTATTCATTCTACTGGTAGTTCATTTTGCTCAAATAGAAGTTGAGGCCTGCTTCTAATTCTGGCCCTCCTTCCAATAAAGGCCTGGAGCTTGTTGAGCTTGAGTAAAATACAGGCCCGGGCCTGCATTAGAGGATTTACGGTATTTCAGTTTCTAACATGACATGAACATTTACATTTGTGTTAGAGTATTTGAATAAAATGATGTCTGTACCCATGCTTTCAGTCACACATGTAATGATATATTATTAAAATCAATGCAAAGGAATGTTTTAAAAGCTTAATTAAAACAAACACAAGGCAATGGAACATTTACAAAGACATTTATAAACGAAGGGAAATGTTGTTCAGATCACAGAAACTTAATACAGTTATTTTAAATGCCAGGCAGGTCTGATTCTGTATTTCTTACTTGTTTTATAAAACCTGTGACATCAAATCCAATTTACAGAGCTCACACGTTGGATCGATGCTTCTCAAACTGAAACAATACAGTTTCATTTTAGAGCCATGTGTTCTGTGAAATATCCCACTGTAGGAAAAAAGGCCAAGTGAGTAAAGAATGACTTGCCTACTAATCTTTTTTAGATAAGTCTTTTTCATACAGTTCCTAATCATGCACAACAGTTTTGGCCCTAATTTTTAGAAATATATCCAAGAAGGCATGCTCCCAATGGATGATACATTTTCTAGGCCATATAAAAGTTTTTTACTTCTGTGTATTACTTCAAATTAGTCATCTGTCAGAGTAATATTTGCTCCACTAAGGTAGTTCTTGGTATTTTATTTTAGGTCAAGGATCAACGTTTTAATTTGATTCAAATTTTCAGTTGACCAAAAACTTGATATATATATATCAAATTTCCGGATGACCAAAAACTTGATGTGTGTGTGTGTGTGTGTGTGTGTGTGTGTGTGTGTGTGTGTGTGTGTGTTGTGTGTGTGTATATATATATATATATATATATATATATATATATATATACACACACTCGGATTTTTTTATTTAGAAGTTACATGAAAACATTCACTGTGTTGCCTTTGTGAAATGCAATTCCAACTCCAGCTGCTAGGTTGCAACAGTTTTATTCTGACGGATCAACAAGATCTTTGTGTCTCATGTCTTGGAAGAGTTTTTGGGAGGTGGTGACAGAGGAGTTAAGCTGCAGTGTCCGATTTGGAAAACAAATAGGCATTAAACATTTTTCATGTCTAAAAGATCTGAGGGGAGGGATGAGTGTTCCATGATCGGGTTTGCGTTCAAAAACTAGCTTGTTACCAAATTTGCTATAACAGCTTTATGTGCCAGAGGGTCATAGGATCGAGCCCTATCTGTCACAGTCATTGTGTCCTAGAGCAAGACAAGCCATTTGCCATTTAAATTTAGTCTATAAAATGGGGGGGGGGGATCATCTGCCGTTTTGTATTGCAGTGCATCGTATCGTCTGCCCTGTACCATGACATATCTCGTACCACCAGATTCTTGCCAGTCCACATCCCTATTTGATATATTTTATAAAAAATAATAATTGCAAGACTTGGTTAGGAAGACAGCTGACTAACACTTACACTAATCACTTACTCTACTGTTCTCTCCAGATCCCGGAGGTCCAACTTTCACCATTGGAAAGTCAGTTTGGCTGCTGTGGGGAATTGTCTTCAATAATTCTGTTCCTATTGAGAATCCAAAGGGCACCACGAGTAAGATCATGGTCCTGGTCTGGGCTTTCTTTGCTGTTATTTTCTTGGCTTCCTACACAGCCAACTTGGCCGCCTTCATGATCCAGGAGCAGTACATCGACACTGTCTCTGGGCTGAGTGACAAAAAGGTACTAACTTATTGTCACTGCCCTTCCTTTATGTGCTGCTTTGTTGAAAATGTAATGTACAGCCATAAAAAAGTGTACATTAGGATTGTGAAGAATCAATGTTGAATATTTCATGTGTCAAAGTCACAGGCTTGACTTTTTATTTCTCCTTTACAAAGCAAGAGGAGAAATTAAATTGCGTAGACTCCATAGACTAGCATGTCAATAAAAAGGAAATACAGGATACAAGTGGATTTTCTGCCCAGACGGTGATTATAATTTCCTGGTATTATCTTACATATATTTGCTTTGCCCTGAAGGACATTTTTACAGGAGTATTGATGAGGAAATCCATGTTAAACCATCAGCACAAATAGTAATTTGTAGTCGCTCTGCTTTCAGGCAGCTGAGGGGAATAAAGAGGCCTTTGAGGAAACGACAGAGCTGTCCACTGCTCATTATAATTCCTCCAAAGTCATTTACAATTCATCTTTCATCACAGACTAATTCTGCAATGCAGTGAATAAAACAAAGCTATTTTGAGAGTGAAACAGCCAATAGATTGTTCAACACCATTCAATTTGGTAACATGGTACAAATGCTGAGCTGGACTTCTGTTCAGCTGTAATAAACGTCTAATGGCAAATATATGTAAATAAGGTAAAGCATTAAGTCACTGATATTACATGTGGGGATTAGGAAGCTAACAGAACGTGGTATATGACAGTTGGTGATTATCTTACAACCACTGAGCACCTCTGCTGCTCTCACATTTCAGTAGATAGATATTGTGAGGCAGACACTGAAAATGTGTGTGTGTGTGTGTGTGTGTGTGTGTGTGTGCGTGAGCGCGCACGTGAGTGCATGTGTTCGTGCGTGCATATGCATTCATGTGCATGTGTGTGTGTGTGTGTGTGTGTGTGTGTGTGTGTGTGTGTGTGTGAGTGCGCGCGCGCGTGCATGCATGCATGCACATGCATTCATGTGCGTGTGTGTGTGTGTGTGAGCGTGCGCGTGAGTGCATGTGTTCGTGCGTGCATATGCATTGATGTGCGTGTGTGTGAGCGTGCGCGTGCATGTATGCACATGCATTCATGTGCGTGTGTGTGTGTGTGAGACAGTGCACATAATCCACTATAACTTTATTTCCAAGGTGAGCTTAGTGGAACAAGGCCTGAGCGCCCAGAGGTCAGACTGTAGCAGATGTTGGGGGATTTGGGGGTCCTGAGATTATGTTGTCCCTTCTATATTTCTCTTCTTCATAAGTGCAAATTGTGTCTTTAGTTGTGTAGTCTTAACACATTTGCATAAGGTTAATGAAAAAGTGCAATATTGTATTCCCCACTCGTCCTAGTTCCTTTCAATGATAATTAAATGCATTTAGTACTGCCAAAAGCAAAAGGATAAAATAAGTTCATTTTTCATGAGACAAGAAAAGACTGATGGAAGCTTGGACCCCTCTGGAGACAATGTCCTGGACAGAAACTTCATTTCTATCTTTGTGGTGTTAGACGTGTAAATTGTCAGGTCAAGATGCCTGCAGGATAGCTACAGTATCAAAAAAGGACTGAGTGAATCACAGAATGCCTGTATGATTATTGTTCCTCTTTTAGTCTGTTTGAGCCTTTAGTCAGGACTTTCCAGTTTGTGTCACTTCTATTTGACACAAGAATTTTTATGCAAATTACAAAAAATCATGATGGTTGGATAAACTGCGCTTTATCATGAGTGTAACTTTCAAACTAAATAAAAATGTTACTGTCCCAATGTTTAAATCTTTGTTGCTTTGTTAGATTTGCTAAAACACTGTAATGCAAATCTTTAGTATTATAAAATGTTATTTTACCTCCCTGTACAGTTCCAGAAGCCCCAGGAGCAGTATCCTCCGTTCCGCTTTGGTACAGTCCCAAATGGCAGCACAGAGCGCAACATTAGGAGTAACTACCCGGAAATGCACTCCCACATGGTCAAGTACAACCAGAAGGGAGTTGAGGATGCCCTGAACAGCCTTAAAACAGGGTATGTTTCTGCCTAAAGTCCTTTACACCTGATGCACTCGCAGAGAGAAAGTACTAACAGCTATGTGATTTTAGTAAGAATGTTTTTTATGCCATGCTAGGAAACTGGATGCCTTTATTTATGATGCTGCAGTGCTGAATTACATGGCTGGTAAAGATGAGGGATGCAAACTGGTGACCATTGGGAGTGGGAAAGTGTTTGCTACTACTGGCTATGGCATCGCCCTGCAGAAGGATTCACGCTGGAAACGACCCATCGACCTTGCACTTCTGCAGTTCCTGGCTGATGGTAACTGCCGTGTATTCATGAAGTTGAAAGGCCATAAAAGCACATTATGCATGATAATTTGAAACCATGCTCAAAGCAGAAAATGCAAGCATTGTGGTATGCATTGCTGAAAAGTAACATGGGTGATATTCATCTGAATGAGGGACGGGATTCAGACGTGTCCATAAAACTTAGCTGTTCTGTGGATCTATGACTTCTGAAAGGTATTTACAAATCTTGGGCGGAAGCCCGGTCCCCTTCGGTCTAACATATGTGGATACTAATGAATAATGCATGATGTCGAACTGAGAGTGATAACATTAGTCCTCACATCACTGAAGCAAATCATAATTCAGAAAACGTTTATTTCAGAGAATCATTTTAAGCAACACATCCTTCTCATATGTCACAGGTGACACGCAGAAGCTGCAGACAGTGTGGCTCACGGGCATCTGCCGTAACGAAAAGAAAGAGGTGATGAGCAGTAAGCTGGACATCGACAACATGGCGGGAGTCTTCTACATGCTGCTTGTGGCTATGGGCCTGAGCCTGCTGGTCTTTGCCTGGGAACATCTGCTTTACTGGAAACTTCGACATTCAGTTCGCAAATCAGAGCGACTCAACTTCCTTCTAGCTATCAGCAGAGTGAGTAAATGATGCTGGTTTTGTTGTTTTAACATACCATACAAGTCTTTATGTAATAATTCAGTGCAGCAACGATAGCAGTTTTAAAGCTCTTATTGAAGAATTAACACTTCAGAGGTATAAGACATGCATTAATATGTCAAATCAGTCCACAATTGTAATAGTTCCATGGTTACATAAACAGAAACAAAATAAATTGAGTTTACAGCAATAAGACTTCTCTAGTGTTCTCTGGAATAAAGCAATGTTTGTGATGTCTGAGACGCTGAATTTAAATTGCCCCATTAAAAACCTTCATCTCTGCATCAAGACTGGTCAAAGGTGGGATTACGCATTTCAAAGCAGCGCACAATTTGAAAGTAAAATAAATCTGGAGGGGTAAGAATGGATAAACTAATTTGGAAAGTGCATAATCAGCAGTTCACAGCCTTTCAATCATGGCGACAGATCCATACAATGATTAGGAAAATAAACTTCATTCTTACAACAAAGGTTTTCTACATAATTACCATTATTTTGATTTGTACATTCACAAATAAATAAAAATATGTGTAAACAACTGTTTTTGAAATTCATCACAAACATTCTGCTAAATGTGAGTTTACTGAGGTTATTAGAGAAGCTTAAAGACTGTCATTTTTCCTTTTCATTCCTCTGTAGGGAATCTACAGCTGCTTCAATGGAGTAGAGCAAACTGACCACAACGGGAGCATGCCGAGTCCAGACGTCACTTCCAACTACACGCAGGCCAACATGCTTAAGATGCTGAAGACAGCCAAGGACATGGTGTCCTCTGCCAGAGTGGAGAACTCCCTGGACAGTGCCACCAAAACAATAGAAAACTGGAGCAGACGTGGACCCGACAATGTGCGAGCTGGCCCATCGCCCAGAGTTACAACCACAGACACGACCCATGGCCGTCTGCCTTATATCTCAAGCATTACAGACAACCATTCTCCATACCCCCAGAGGGCCATTACACCAACATTTCCAGTGCATTATGGTGACACCACCGCTCAACACCTCCTGGAAAAGCCCAGGGTGGTACCCCGGCCGACACCTCTTCGGTACACGTTGCCTGCTCGCAGCACTCAGCATCCCTTAGAAAGAACTCTGCCTATCTCCAGCCTGAGCAGTCCGCACATCGCCATCAGAGATCCCGCTCCACCCAGTACATCAAATCCCCATCACAACAGCAGGCTGTATGTGGAGAACCAAGTCCGGCACCCAACATCTCCTTTTGCTCCCTACAGAGAAATCCAGGCACCTGACATCTACATGGAGCACAAAGGACCCCTGAGGAGGAAGTTCAGCTATCCTCCTGACTGTGTGAGCCGCAAAAGAAAGTCCTTTACCTACGGGTTCGATGCAGCAGACCCCAGAGGAAGGTGCAACTATGACGAACCTCGATTTTGCTTTGCTGAGCTGAGGGCTAATCATCTCCTAAACAACCACACACCTGACGCACCTGCCATGGCATGCACTGCAGGACACTACCCTGGCAGCAGCACTAGCTGTAACTCCTGTATGAAGTCTTACCTGGAGCCTGATATGGATGACATACCACTCTTGGGAAAGGACAAACTAAATCGGCGTGCCTCATTCCTCAAAGCCACATGGGGCAGTGACAGAGTCCGTCAGGTGGATGAAACAAAGCCTTCCACATCCACGTCTGCCTCTGCCCGTCCTGATATGCCTGACTTATTTCCACGAGTGGTTTGTCCTAATCTAAAGCCGCCCAAGCTGTACGGCAGTTTGGGGCACAATCTGTCCTGCTACCCCGTGGCTGCTGAGCCAGCCTACTTAGACCCGGCTCATATGGGCTCTTACCCCTACAAGCAAAAGCTCAAGTGTTCTGAGTCCACCCGACTGCCCTCCTACAGGGAGGCCCTTCTCCAGAATGCTGCTGCCCTGCGCCGTTCCTCCTCCTCCACAGTGGTGCACAGACATTACTCCACCTACCTGAACTCATACACAGATTTACCGGTGTATGTGGGGCCACTGGCACAGGGACCATCCCAGTTCTACAACACCTCAAAGAACATGTGCCACTTGTTCCCATGCACCAGCCACTGCTCAGATAGAGCAGCAATGATGCCTCGTATGAGTGACAGACCAGTGGTTTTCCACAACAATATGTTTGGAGCCTACCATGGCCCAGGGAAGCCAGAAGACCTGACGTCTGGGAGCAGAGAGCGGAGGCAGGTGTTGGTGGCACAAAGAGTTAACAGTCCCTATGTGCCAAAGCCCTGGGGCAGGGTATCGAGCCTGGAGTCCGAGGTCTGAACCACTTATCTTACTGGGCGTTCATTTGGCGCACTGACTAACTCCCTCTGAGGAGAAAACTGTCTGGGGGGTCTCCCCTTAGCCTCCAGTCAAAGCAAAAATGAAACTTTACACCAATAGTGTATTTGAGAGTGTTTTCTCTCCGTTATCAGTGCAATAATATCTTGTGCGGCAAAAGTGTAAAAAAGGGTGAAATAAAAAGCAAAACACTGCTGGGACTTTGTAGGCCAAACTCAAAACTATTCAAAAATATTGAATACATCCGAATTTAATCTACTGATTGTTCTATAAAGAATTTTTAAACGCTGTTACTGTGTACAACTTTTTGGGAGACAATATACTGCAGCCTCCCAGTCTGACTACAACTTAAGATGTTTTTTTTTTCTAATTTATTTAACTATCCATCACGCCAATTAACTAATAAATTAAAAAAGATAATTTCGTGATTTAACCACGGATGTCTTCCATAATTTTTTAAGTCCTCAACCTTGGGTGCATTAAGACTTTCCGGTCATTAGTATAATGGCACAGCACTTCTAAAGCAAGATAATACTGTATAAAACATCATGTGTAGCTCCATTGTTACCATACCCTTTAATAAAGAACAAGGCTATCTCAAGAGTCTTTTGGAATCATCGTCACTCTTCTTTATCTGTACGCTCTCATTTAAATGCATTTGGTGTGTTCTGTGATATGGTTTCAACGATGTCAGCTCACATTGATAAATGACCATGAGATTGCAGTGTTTAGATAAGACTGACAGTGGATTCATAGACCTCTTGACACGTGACACTCTCAAGATCCTGCCCCCAGCTTCCGGCTGGGGTGCCTCCCCACTGGCCACCATTATTATCTGTGTCTATTCACATTTTTCACACTTTTCACACAGTGACGTTACGTTTTTCAGATGATAAAATAAGCTGAAGGCAGGTTAACAGCCATGAAGAGAGCTTGTCGTAGCCAAGGTCTCATGACGGAATAGAAATGTAAAAGAATCTGCCTCTCGTTCAAAGTGTATAATCAACTATTTTTCAAACTCCTCACATTGGATTTGTCTTCTGAACAGTCTGAACATGTTTTAGAAGGAGACGTGTGTGACGCGTCAAAAAAACTGGCACCTGCTCAGGCCCACCCACAACGTCGCGGCTGCTGTGGCTCCCAGTACTGTGGGAAACGGGTAATAATGGCTCTTTGATTGGAAAAGGTTGCCGACCCCTGTCCTAGAGGACCTGCCAGTCAGGTTTAACCCAACGCTTGTATTTTCACATTTGGGTTCGCAGACACGCTGCAATCCTTCTCTGCTGCTGCTGGATACTCTCATCTTCTCTGTTGTCAGCCCTGCTCTCAGCTCCATTTTTGTATTTTCTGGGAGTGATGAGCCGTGTGACACGGCCAAGATGGCGGTTGTGGGAGCCGTCCACTGGGCTTCAATCCAGCTCTTCAAAAACATAGGGGTGAGTAGCGTAGGAGTGGTTGTCCATCTTATATTTGCAGTCATGGATTTATACCTAATTACTTAACTTTGTTTATACTTGTGTTTCTCTGCAAATCAATAGACCTGTTAAAGAAACATGATAATACACCGATCATTTTGAGTTTAAGGCTCATTTTCAGTTTCAAAGCCCAGGTTTACGATCGGAGAGGTCCTAACGTCCTTCCTAGCAGACCAGACCGCACAAGGTATGATTATCTGATGAGATCATCTTTAGGGCCTTTACAATGAATATGCACATCCTTAAGATGGTCAGACGGGAAGGAGCTGGTCAAAAATTGGAACGATAGCCGGCCAGAGCTGAAGGAGCTCTGATCCATTGATCCATCTCTCCTCCACCCTATCAGACACCACAGTACAGGCGTTTAGTAGTTTACATCAATTTGCTTAACAGAAAAAATGTCAGACTCCGTTCTATTTTTAATGTTACACTAAACTTAGAAAAAAATAAGTTTAGCAACAAATCAAAACATAGATGAGTTTCGTCTTTAATCGCCATCATAGTGGTGATTCATCACAAATGCCTTGTCAACACGTTTTTAAAGACCAATAATTCCCCTGATTCATCTGCTGTTGGGTCATCGCTCTAAGCTTTATTCATGCTGGTGAACTTTTATCCCTGCTTCTCATTTTTGGGTCGATTGAGACACAAACAGGAACATGATGTGGATCAGATGTTCATGTATTCTGCGTTGCTCTGTGATACCTGCAGAATTGATGAGTGCTGGCTGATTGCACTGCAGATGATAAATGATTCTGCACAAGCTCATAAAATATAGCTGGCAATTTGTCGTCCAATGTCCAAAGTGTGCAGCCACACAGCTGCACACATAGATGTGCACTGCAGTGTTCCTGAACTAGATCCTGCTGAAGGAATCAAAAATCAGAGCTTTATTTGGTTCTGATCTCTCTGGCAACACACTGAACAGTTAGATGTTGAGCTGTTCAAAGAGTTAATACAGGACAACACTAAAAGACGCTTTGCTTTTCTAATGAAGAAAATACTGATTGAAAGAGTCTCCAAAATACAGAACAAGCCAAGATTAGGAAGTTTTTTCAACCTTTATCCAATGATTGGGATTGTCTAAAACAAGATCATAACATTTTAACCTTCTGAGGCAAATAATCAGAAACATCTGACTTCAAATATTTCCTAATAAAATAAACAAATACAACTAAAAAGCTCAGTTAACAATTTCTCATTGATGGCTGTTACCATTAACATCAATTACCATGAAAATATTCTATCAGGAATTATTTTCCAGTTTATTTAATCTCTTTAGATCAATTTAATATGTCAAATTTGATGTTTCACGACCCACAGAGGTTTCCAAATCCAACTTTGGGAAACTGGTCTAGAAAATAATCTTTCTGATACGATAGAAATGTCCCGTTTAGGAGAGGAGGTTAGGCCCAGGATGCAGAAGCACCCAGAACGACTCAAAGGCAGGAGAGGTTTTAAGAAAAACAATTCCTTTATTTAAGGAGGATGAGCTGAAAAGTCCAAAGCACAAAATAAGACTAACACTCAAAAACTTGAAAACTCAAAATTAACAAAGCTCACACATGAGCATGGACTCAGAGAGACTCGAGACGGGAACGAACAACGCAGACAGATACTACAATGACCCAACAAACACTGAAGGACAAGACAGGCTTTTAACACAGAGGGACACATTCAGGGGAACAGGTGACAGGTGTGAGGAGTGAGGCCTAGAGGGAGGACTGGTGAAATCAATTAACTAAATGGGAAGGGGAAAGCAAGCATAGGGGAAGATAACATATCCTATAAAAACACTAAATAACTAAGGCCTAGTCCACACGTAGCCGGGTTTTTTTAAAAAACAAATATCCGCCCCTCCAAAAACTTGCATCCACACCACCTCGTTTTAAAAAATCTCTGTCCACACGGATAAATACGTTGTTAAGGACATGCCAGACCTGTAGGCGGCAGTACTTCCCCCGTTCTTAACCTCGTCCTTCGTCTGTGGTCTTCCGCAAGGAGCAGTAAAAGCGAGCGCAGCTCTGAGGACATCCATGCTGTCGGCTAGTGTAAACACAGGTCGCACACGTGATGTCAGCATTTTTTTGTCGCGGAAAGTGACATTGTGGACCTTAAAACTCCGCTTTTGTCTGTCGCAGACACCAAAAACGGAGAAAATGCAGATCTTCACTTTGAAGATTATTGAGTTTTTAAAAAGATCCGTTTTCGTGTGAAAAAACTCAGTTTTCGTGTGGATGACAGGCCAAAATGTAGAAAATATCTACGTTTTGGCAGATCCCCGGCTACGTGTGGACAAGGCCTAAACCTAGAAACTAAGGGCAAAGATAAACAGCTAATGACAAGAGGAGTATGGGAGACTAATAAACAAGTGGGGAAGGACACACACACTAAAGGGAACTAATAAAATGAAAAGCTGAACCTATAGAAAAATACAGAGGGGTGACTAGGGGAGACCTGCACCAGGAGACACATGAGGAGAACGCAGAGGACAAAAAGGAGGGGGCAGGGGACCAAGGGGACACAGAACATGACAAGAAACTCCTTTACTTTTATTTTTTAACACTTGTTAACCACTGTCATGCCTCTTGAATGCTTTAACTCAACAAAGTATAAAACGAGTGAAGTGTATAAACGATTCTTCTAAATACTTTCAATACTTTCATGAAGTGATGCATTGAAAAGCTTTTGCTGAACAAATAATATCAGAAAAGACAATGACTTCTGAGATTTAAATCACAGTTGAAGACAGCGATTAAAAACGGTTGTAAAATTAGTATAATTTCATAACAACTGTGTCACATTTACTTGGCCATCAGCTTTGATCATACAATGATGTTTAGTGAAGGTCATGACTGTTTGTTCACTTTCTGCTAATCCTGCTCATCAGAGTAGCATAAACACGAGCTGTTACGCAGTAGAATAATAATAATTATTATTATTATTATTCAGTACACATCTTAACCCTAACCCTAACTGATACCTTGGAGGGAAGGTCCTGTCCACTGTGTGGGTGGAGCCCAGTGTGAGAAGTTAAAAGATTATGAAGGCAGATGCTCAGTAGACCTATAGAATGTTCATGACTGGTGGTGGTGAGGGTCCAGGGCTGTGTGTGTTTGTATAGTTTATAAATCCAGTAAACTGAGGCTACTGAATGACAGCCATTTCTGGTGTACCAGTGACAAAGTTAATGTGTGTTCAGTTCAGCCCTCCTCAGGGAAGAAAAGCAGGAATGAGGTCTGCTCGCTGAAGGAAATGTGATGAGGAGGAATCCTGCAGACCTACAATCTGACAAAACAAAACTGAAAGAAAACGTGTTGAACAGATTTTTACAGCACCCTTATTACATTTGACAGAACAGCTTGAACATGTACACAATGAATAATTTAGAGATATACTTTTAAATCATTGTTTGTGTCTTTTAAGAGTGATGCAACAGCTGGTGTGTTTGCTCAAAGCTGTGGTTTGTAGCATGATGTCATCAGAGGGGAGGGGGAGATTTTGACTCTTGAACACCCAACGCCGGGGACACACCGGCCGCCGAAGCGCCCGGAGGCGGAGCGCTCACGAAATTCGGCCGCTGCTCGCTGCTCCTCAGTTCAGACCTGACGCTTGTTTCTCCGCTCCGGTCGAGGCGCGCCTCGTAGTTTTTCTTTTAACCACTTGGTGTCCTCCATTTCCTCTTTGCCTTTGCTCTGCTCTTTTCCTCTACACCCCCTCCCCCTTGCTGTTTGTGTGTGTTTGTACATGTGTGTGTGTGTGTGTGAACCTCTGGCGTGAACCAGTTGTTAATAGCTGGCCTATGACTTTCTGCCTCTCTGTCCTGTTTGCTCCGGTTGAAAGACACCCACCACACCCCCTTCACATGGTCACACACACACACAAGTTTGCTGTGTGTGTGTGTGTGTGTGTGTGGGGGGGGGGGGGGTATGCCGTGTACGAACACATTTGAATATCGCGGAATTGTATTTTGAAATGCTTTATTTTGGTAAATTTTCCGGCCTGCCTCTTATGTCTAGGTTTGACTTCCTGCCAGAATTGACGCGGTTCAACCGCGGCTCGCGAAAAAAATAGAGTAGACATCGAAACGATGGCGGCACGGGCTGGAGCGCCGGCGTGCGGCGATTCGGCGGCCCATGTGGTCTATAGAATAGGATAACAAGGGCGCCGAATGAACGCGGTCCCCTTTTCGCAGCGCTTCGGCGGCTGGTGTGTCCCCGGCTCCTGCCCCTGCTACCCCTCCTCTGAAAGGAGTTGGAAGCCAGGTCTCATACTGCACGTGCAGGGAAAGCAGTCAACAGCAAGAGCTGAGACTATAGTCCGATGTAGCACAAGGCTGAACTCGTTCTTTTTAAAGCGTCTCCATTGTAAATTCTACTCAACTTTTGGAAACACTTCACAGCGGGTTTCACAGAAGGACTTTTAAACTGTTCACATTTTCTTTGAGAAGTAGAAGGCAATCACGGAAGAAACTTACTAGTGGTTTTGGATGCTACATTGCAAAAACACGATGGTTGTGAATGACTAAACTCTACAAGCAGCAGAAAAATCTCCACCATCCCATTCATGTGTGGATGTCTGCAGCCTTTAGCGCTCTGGAGCAAAACCGCAGCAGCTACCTGGAGTCCAGGTGTTTATACGAGAGTCCTCTACACCGCAGGTTGTATGGCAAGTGATTGTACCATTTAATTCACAAACACTTCTATGCTTGAATATAATTTAGATTGGATTATGTTGTCAACCCATACATAACACAATAGATAAACGGTCATTGTCATCATTGGGTGCTTTGCTGAGAAAGTCATTGGCTGCAAACTCCCCTCCAAACTGGACCTGTATACCTCCAGGACACTGAGGTATGCAGGTCTGATCACAACTGACCCGTGACTGACCCGTGTCATCCTGGACACAGTCTTCTTGACCACCTCCCATCTGGCAGGAGGCTCAGGTCCATTCAGACCAGAACCTCTATCCAACAGAAACATTCTTCCTCTCTGCAGTTGGTCTCATGAATGACAGTCCTAGAACTGCCCACTCCAGCCACTGTTTCAGTCACATGACCCTGTGTTGTGTTTGTACCTGAACTGATCTGCTCTGACCAGTATGTACACTGACTTGTATATAGTAGCCGTTTCTCTTTGTTATTATGTTTTTACTGTGGTTATTTCTTTTTTCTATTTTTTGTTTGTCTTTTTTGCACCAAGTACCGCAGCAATTTCCTAATGTTGTGATTTCTCGCACATTTGGCAATAAAACCTTCTGACTCTGTTTCTGATCATTACATTATTACCAGGAGAAATGCATGCTATTAGCATTTCCAGTAGCTTACTACTGAACATCTGAATGAAAATTATTAAATTCGACTGACTATATGTGGGTATATTTATTAATTATAATTAAACCAATATAAGTGATATTAATACAAACCTAAAATTGTTAATTAAATTGTAACCTTGATAAACTACATATTTAGGAATTAAAGTCTGTTGCTTTTCAGCTTATGTTTTAATTCCTTAGAAAGATCAAACAAATTAATGAATGAAATTTACATGCATGTATACATATACGGATATATGTATATGATAAATGTAAATTCATACACCAACTTGCTTGGTCTATGTTCAATCAAAACATTAATATTCAATTTTAAATATTTAATTTAATAGCAAATGTTATTTGTTAATTCAGAAGATCTAAAGATCTTTGTTCGTTCAGTGATCAATATACACCACTCTGTGTTTATTTCAAGGAAGAGCCAAGTTTAAAAAGTTAAGAATTTTATTACTAACAATTTACACCGTGACAATTTAAAAGACAAGTTATGAAAGACAATTTATAAAAGCTTTGGCATTAAATACTTTGGTATAAAATAGCAACCCTGTGAATGGATCAATCTAAAAATGATGTGTGTGTTTGGATATGTGAATGTAGGTCTCAGAAGGTTTTATCTTAGAGAGAGAAAAACGCGTTGTGGGAAAAAGAATTTGGTTTGCAGTTAAGCTAAATTATTTCTTAATAACAGGCATTAAGACGCAATCTGTGCTCTACCTCACCATTCAGACGACCCTCTGTTCAGATCCGGAGGTCAAGGGAGGATGTTGATCAGCCTCTAGGTACCCGGTCCGGTAGGGAAGACCAGTGGTACCGACTCTCTGGTCCTAGAGGTGCCGCATGTGACACAGGTGGA